TCTTTAAATTAATAATTTTTTTATATTTATCCTTATTTATTAGGGTATGTTACCTAAAAAAATATAAGTAATCTATTGAATGTGGGACACTTTAAAAAAAATAATGATTATATCTTAAACAATTAAAATATTTTATATTTTTTAACATATAACTCCTAAAAAAATATTTTATATTTTTTAACAAAAAGAGTACACCTTAGCAAAAATCTTATTAAGTACACCTTAAAAGGAGGAAGGCTAGTTTCCCAGGGGGAAGCACCCAAACTTGCCATTTAACTGTTTTGAGAAATTGTACTCCATGTCATACTATACTTTATTTGATCCATGATATTAAGTATTCTTAATTATTTTACCGTTTTTTAAAAAAATTTACTGAGATTTTAACCTTTTAAAACATTGTATATTGTTTTATTGCATTCTTATTATAAAAATAATATATGAGTGCCTTAAAATAATAACGAAATGCACAATAAAATAAAAATATACTCTCTTAATTTAAAAATATAAAGTATTTTTTGAGAAGTTGAATGTTTAAAAATATAAAATATTTTTAATCTTTCGAGATGTAATCATTATCTTTTTTTAAAAATACCCTTATTGATAGTGACTTTATTTTTATTATATGAAATTTAATAAAAGTAGATATGAAAAGATATGATTAATTTAAAAATAAATAATTATTTTACTGAGATAAAATTTAATTAAAAATATTTTATATTTTTAAATAAAGGGAGTAGTTAAAAATTATAAAAATCATACCAACGTGTAAGATCCAGACCAAGCAAGCTTGTGTACAATGCCTAGAGCACGACGGGGGTAGAATGTCAGGTGTGCTATTAAAATATTGTTGGGGCATGACCCCTTAATTGAAAACGAGAAAATAGGACATGAGCACGCGAGATTGATGAGGGGAAATCCAAGCCTAGGCGAGCAGTAAAAGACTAGAAGTTTATATAATTTGTAAGGATTTAATATATAATTTATAACTTTATAAATTTAATCTTTTATAATAAAAATATACTCTCTTCATTTAAAAATATAATATATTTTTTGAGAAGTTAGGTGTTAAATAATATAAGATATTTTTAATTTTTTGAGGTATAATCATTCTCTCTTTTTTTTTTAAAGTGCCTTTTTCGATGAATAACTTTATATTTATTGTAGGGTGTTTAATAAGAGTAAATATTAAAAAATTATATTAGTTTAAAAGCAGATAACTATTTTATTAGGGGTAAGATTCAGTTTAAAATGACTTATATTTTGAACAGAGGGAATAATTTTTTAAAATATTATTTATTTAATACTTTATTTATAAAAAATAATAAAGAGATAATATAATAGAAAGGATAATATTTAAAAAAGTATTATTAATAAAATTTTATTTTTTGAGTTTCTTATATTTTAAAACATTAAATTTTTTTAAATATATTTTATAATTTATCAAATAAAAAAAATCTGTATAAGTGTTTTTTAAATTTAGGAGAATGAAAAATAACATGTAAAATATTTTTAATAAGACAGGAGAGGATAATTTTATAAATAAAATAATTATGTTTTGTGGCTTTATCATTCTTCAATTGCTGATGGCGAAGGATGGCTTTCCATTCCTTGTTAACAAAAATTTCAAACAATGACCCGAGCCTTTTAATTATTTGACTCTATTTCGCTTGTACCCAAAAAATTTTCCAAACGTACTCTTAATTTTGGAGACATGTTCTGTTGTGGAGCTTTTGGCTTGATTCACCCTTTTTTTTTTCTAATAAAAAAAAGTGGAAGCCTCGCACGCCTCACCGGGTGGTAGAGGTAAAAAACGGGTGCGCTGACTCGTATGAACTTAGTTTTTATAGGCCTCAACTTATAAGAGTTAGGTTCTTAGGTTTAATTTTTTCAAAATCTAACCTTTATTTAAAGGCTCACGATCAATTTCATAAACTCTTTATTATTATTATTATTTTTTATTTTTTATTTTTTAAAATTAAAATTTTTAATTATAACATTTTATATATTTTTAAAATACAAATTATAATATTAAAAAATTAAAAATAAATAATAAAAATTTTAATCTTAAAATATAAATATATATTTTAAAGTTTAAATTTAATTTTAAAATAAAAATATTTTATTTTTTAAATTAAAATAAAAAAAACTTAAAAGTATCGGCTGAACTTGAGCGTATTTTTTTAGAGTCCATCAAAATTGAGTTTTAAAGCTGAATTTTTTTAAAAACATAATATTTTTTAAATTAAAATTTTATAAAATAGACCTAAATGAGTGATCGGTTAAGCGCCAAGCCTGGCTTGATTATCAGTTCGACTGGTTGGTGGTGTTGAATAATGAAATAAAAAGGAAAAAGATGAGGAAGGAGAAAGAGGAGGCCCTGCCACGTGAAAAAGAGTGTCAGGTGTCAATCAACATCAGGCTGGGGAAGAGGAGAGAGAGTATTAGAATTTAATAATGAGAGAAAACCCACGATGATTCAATCCAATCAATCACTCCCCCAGACAGACGCGACTCCTGACATCAACCCCCCCTTCTCTCTCTCTCTCTCTCTCTCTCTCTCTCTCAAATGTCATATTTCCAATTTACTAGACACCACGACAGCGTCCCACGCCATGCACGGGCGAATCCTTCCCCCCCTTCCTTCCCGGCTTCTTGTTTACGTCTTCCCCTTCATCCACTTTAGTGTTTACGACGCCACCGCGCTTCCCCCCCCCCCCCAAAATACCAATATTTTAAAAATCAAATAAGATATTAAATTAAAAAAACCAACTGTTTATCATATAATTAATAACATAATAATTAAATTAAAAAAATTATACATATATATAAATAATAATTTACATATAAAAAATAAATATCAAATTATAATTTAATTTTAAAATAAAATAAATATTTTAAGTTTTTTATAACATAATAACTTATATAATATAATATAACATTAAATGATTAAAAAATGAATCATTTTATAAAAAGAAAAAAATTATTTTTTAGGCTGTCAGTTTTTTAAAGTCAAATTTAATTTTCTGTTCAAAAGTTTGTTCAAAGCGATCTAATTTCGCCTAATTTTTTAAATAATTTTTTTAATTTGACTAAGTCATTAATGTGGTATGTTTACGGTCGGGTTGTCCAGTTTTTAAATCATTTTTCACTTCTTAATAAGTACTACAAGATATTAATTAAATTTATTTAATATTAATTTATTTAAAATTATTAATTATGAAAGAAAATATAATATAAATTTTAAAAATAATTTAAATTCAAATAAAATTGAAAGTTTATTTTTTCTTTTGATAAATTAAATGTTTATTTTATTTTTGAAGTTAATCACTTAATCATTTTGTTTGTTTCTTTTAAAATAGTCAGATGTGCCTTACAATAAGAATTATATAAAATATTCATTAAATATTGTTCATATGCATTTATCACATCATAATCCAATTATATCATACAGAGAAGGGAATGAAAAGCTATGAAGAAGATTGAATTCTTTTTTTGTTTAAAAAATAAAATTCTCTTGCATAGTCTTATTTTAGAGAGATGCTAGTTGCCATCCATTAGATTATTCTATTACTAATAGAGTTAAATGTGGAAAAAGAGACTTAACTTTTCACAATATAATAAATTAAAATTTAAATCACTGTTAAAAAATTTGTTCATATTTAATATTTAACAATGTTTTAAAAATAATTGTCTTTGGTAAGAAGATACTTCTTATGAGTTTTTTTTTTTAGAGACATGAAGTACTGCAGAAGAAAGAAACAATAATAAATATAATGGTTATTGATTAATTTGATGTCATGAAAATTCAGCTCCATCCAGAGTAACAGAGCACATGTGTGTCATGTTTGAGAGCAAGGTATTAAAAATTGAACCGGTGAAGACAATGAGTTACAGGTCAGTGGTTCAATCAGAGGTCAAACCAAAATCAAACCTGTCTTCATTAAAATAATATAATTTAATTTGTATATACACAAATATTCATATTTATATATAAAAATGAAGATTTGAATAAAAATCATTAATTCTCCTATAAATGGAACAAATATCCATAAAATCTTATACATGTCGCCATAATCATAATAATGAGTTAAATATTTTAGCTCGAATAACCTAAAAAAATAATATAAAATTATAATAGTTATTTAAAAAATCATGATAATAAAAACAACAAGAAGTAAATAGTAGCAAAAAAAATAATGATAACATAAATACGGATTTGGAGTCTGGAGAACTAAAAGATAAAAAAAGCAAAATATAATTGAAAATAAAAAATATTAAAATAAATGACTTGAACTGATACACTAAATAAAACATATAATATTAAAAGCTGATTAGTTATTGAGATATACTTATCAACATATATTTGATAATATCAAATCAAAATTCAAAAATCACATCATCTAAAAAAAGTGGGGAAAGCATCAGCGGATAAACGTGCATCAGTGAAAATATTTGGCCAGTTTTAATTCCTTTCTTCTCCTCCTTGTCCTTTTCTTCTATGTCTCTCCCAAAAACTGAACTAGCTCTAGTAGCAAGGTGAAGGCAACATGCAACAACATAGAAACAAACATCAAAACTCGACACCACGACAAGATAAACGGCCAACAAGGCAAGATAGAATTCGAACCAGGAGAGTGACGGTCGACAAGACGAGTTCGAACTAGGAGAGAGATGATGGTAAAGAGGATAGTGACAAAGCCCGACAGTTGAGAATTCACTGATCAAGGCCAAAGAGAGCTACGATGAACTTGAACTAAGGCTAGGGATGACTATTAAGAATTTGAGATTGATCATGCGTGTTTGACTTTTAAAATTGATTTCAATTTTGCATTTTTCAATTGTTTGAATTTTTTTAAAAACTCTAAAATAAGTAACCCGATCAACTGTCGATGGACGCAACACATAAGTATGACGGAAGATTAGGTCCAATTTTCACCGGGTAACACAAGTCTTTTTTAAAAACACCGGGTTGATTAGGTTATATTGAATCATGTCTTCACTAAGATAAAAAAACCAGATCAGTGAAGAGACCGGTTCATTGATTTTCAGATTGATCCAACGGATCTGATTTTCTATACAAGGTTTGAGAGCCACATATTCCGTTTTACTTTAATCACACTGCCGCCGTACCTCTCCCACTTTTATTGCTCTCCTTCCACCCACGTCAGCCTCCCGCTGAAACTCGTAACCCTCATATCTATCTATTTTAGTTTCCACGGGAGGGGTAATATAACGTCCATAGGCATTCAATTATTATTATTGGAGAGTAAGCCAGCCCGTTTCAGTTTGACGAAAGCATATTTGTACCCTCAAAGATAGCACCATGGATTCATTCAAGGAATAATTAACTAATACAAAAACTTGAAATTCATAGAAGCCACGCCAGGTGTTGTTTGGAAAAGCCATTATTTGTTCATAACCTTATTGCGCTCCTAGCTCAGTATGTACTACCAGTAATAATTAATGGGGAAGGCTCAGGATCCACCACGGTGGTGGCCGCTAGCAGCTCCTCCTAGTGTCAGAGCCAACCCATTAAGATCGCTCCTCATCTTCTCTTCTTTGGAAAACGACGCAGCGCCTTTCGCTCTCATCATTGGGAATGGTTGAGTCACCTGACACGACTCTGTCCTCGAACAACCACTTACCTGCTGGCATCCTCTCGTATTCTCGCCCTTATGATTCGAGTTCGTCGCACACGCACCATGCATCCAACTGCTCGGTTCCATACTGGGCCTTCTCGACACTGTTCCCGTCCCCTGCACAATTTAGTTTTCCCTGTCAATTCCACTAACTTCCACTCGCAACCAGTAAACTCTTCGACGGATGCAACACATAAGTATGACGGAATCGTCCGAGTTTCGAAGCTTACGGGTGCGAACAGCACTCCTCTGAAAATTTTTCCGTTCACCGTCGCGGTCATCAGCAAACCCGAGTCAAAGGCCCCATCAACTCTTCCTCGGACTTCAGCACCGATCTAGAATTTCAAATCCCACGAGAGTAAATAAAAGTCGAGAGGCTAAAAAATGAGGGGATTGCGAATTCTGAATTCTGAAAGTACCAGGTGTTGGATGGGCCCTCGAACCATGGGCGAGTGCTCTGCATCATAAACATGGTGATATTGTTTTAGATAATGAAAGCCCTGGGGATTCCTCTGGTTGGAATTCTTTAGTACTTTTGGGTTGATGGAAGGGTTGTCATGTTGAGAACTGGTTGGTATTTGGTTTAACGGTTTGAACATGAGAAATCGCTGAGAGTCCGTGGTGGAAGCATTAGGTTTTTGTGCGGTGTTGTGTTCTCGATCGGATTGGGTCGGAGAAGAATGCTGGGACAAGGAAAGAGAATGCTCTTCCTGTTCTAAATCAACATCCCACACCTTTGAAGCAGCAATTCTCCTCTTCTTCTGTTGGGAAGCATCTGAACAGAATTGCATAGATAAAGTCAACCAAAGATAGCGCCAACAAGTATCCCTCACCAGGTGTTTTAAAGCGTTAACCCACCGGATTCCAAATGGAAAGGCTGCTTTTTTCCTGCTGTGAATTCGTAAGTTCCTACAGTGTCCGCATTATTCCCCATGAGCACTGCCTTCTGCTTAAAAAGACCTTGTTAGCTCCTTCGAAAAGGCACGGTATATCAGAAATTCATAAGATCAACGTTAATTAATTGTTATATAGCCACGTGAACTTTTGTACCAGGTTGCTGTCCGCTCCGCTTGAGCAGGTCTTCTTCCAACAGCTTCCAAAGACTTTGCCCATGGATACGTTGTAACGTCCGTTTGGGTGCTCTGCTCCCAGCTGCAACACTAACAATTCATCCAGAGGACGTTCATCTTCCCCGCACCTGCCAATCAAATGAAGGCAAAATTGTGTTAGCATGTGAAAAGCGAAGGCAGAAAGATGAACAGTGATTATAAGATGATAGGAACCTACCCTCCATATATGACAATGTCCATGTCAGCAGCAACTGCTGTGTGTGAAAACCGCCCTTGGGGTTGCTGACCTCGTATTTCAAGCTGAGTCCAAGAACAAGTGTAGATATCAAACACCCAAACATCATTATAGTAACGTTTATCTCCGACCCCTCCGATAATATACACCTACATGTGACCGTGAAGAGTACATTCAGCTTACATCTAACGAGAAGATACAAACTTAAGTGGTGATGAAATTCAAAATCAGAACTTGCCTTGGTTCCAATGTTAACAGCAGCATGTCCTGCTCTTACGCCAGGGGAAGGCCCTTGAACAGTCAACTGTCATCAAAATGCAGAAAGAATCAGGATAATTAAGTGCCCTCCTCTACTTGACACAAGAACACAATACATACATACCTTTGACCAAGTCATTGTATCCAGATCCAGCATATTGACGTTACCATGATACTGATCACCAGAGTCTCCTCCATAAACAAAAAGCTTGTTCCCAATAGCCAGAGTAGTGTGACTGTCCCTAGGGACAGGCAAATCACCTTTCACCTCTGGAGAAGTCCATCTCATGGTTCGGAGATCCAGAATATGCAAATCGTTCAAGTAGTTTGAATCACCTTCTCCACTACCACCAAAGATCACTAATCTTTCTTCACCAAACAGAGTGGCAGTGTGGCTTTCACGTGGAGAAGGAGGGCTTCCTTTGCATTCAGGACGAACCCACTCTAGGGTGATCAGATCTAGGATATGAATATCATTAACCTTCTTGAAGCCATTCGTACCACCAAACACTATCATTTTATGGCCTTCAAGAACAGCGCTATGGCTATCTCGAGGACCAGGCCCTTCCCCGGTTGTTGCCAGTTTTCTCCATGTCATATTGTTAAGGTCCAGAGTCAGAACATCGCTAAAATGAAGCCCCCCACAACACCCCTGAAATGTGCATGCACGGGAATCATAGTCATGCCATCTAACAATAGAACATCAGAATTTTGCATTATAACTAACCTGTTTATCTGGCGACAACAGACAGCTAAGTTACAGACATTGAAATCTCAAATTACCGGGAACCAGTTTGGAAGTACAACATGGGAGCACCTTTTTTCTTTCTATGTGCGAGGTTGTTTGGTACACAAAAACGAAGGGCAGAAACGAAGGAGGACGACGTAAATGTGAGTCATTCTATAGCAAGAAAGCAGAAGGATGATGGTCACGAAACAATGTATTGTCCCACTAATTAGAGAAACAAAATTTAACATAGTTGAAAACAGGTAAAAAAAAAAGACGTGGGTCAAAGAAAAATCTGGAAAAGATACTATTCAGAGAAGAAAGTGGTTTGGTTATTAGCCAAAGATAGCAGCATGGCAGAGGACATGGGAACGTAGTACTGCGAGGTCATGAAATAAATGATCACCCCGTTCTACAATGAAGACAGAACAACTCTGGATGAACACATCCACTCAGGAAGACACTCCGGTAATCAAGAGGAAATTTCACAGAATGGCTATTTATTGAAAGAACAAACTAAAACTAAATATCAGGAACTTGAAACTATCTGGATACTTGAAAAGATAAAAGATTTTGATCATACCCCAAAGACATACACAAGGCCCACGGAAAAGCAAGCAGAGTGCCCCCATCTTTCAGAAGGTTTAAAACCCAAGACTTTTGGATATAGCCACATTGCTTTCTTTGCAGTTTCACTTCCCAGAGAGCCCATTTCTTTGGCCGGGCGCGTCTGTGGTTTTCTCTGTTCTGTGCGTGTGAGGGCCGGAGTTTCAAAACTTGAGGATTACTTCAAGACGGCGCTTGACAAAGATGAAGAGAGAGAGAAGGTGGAGGAGGAGGATGGGAGGAGGAGAGAGTCAAAAGAGGACATCAACAAGCCAAGTGATACATCAACAATCAACCTCAATAGACATGAAAAGATGGGCGCTTTCAAGTCCAAATCACTGTGGCAAACAACAGCAAACAGATGGCTGTGGTGAAAAGAACATTATATTTCGCGTTCTTGTTACACAGGAAAAATATCAATCAAGACCCTTGTAGTTAATTTGTATCAGTCAAGTAGGGTAAGATTCTAAAATTTCACTTAGTCCTTAGTTGAAATGGATTTTTACATAAAATGATTGAAATTGTTCCCAAAATTTAAAATAATAAAAAATTTACTTTCATTATCACTAATGTTGGCTGCAACCACCGCCGCAAACCCTCCCGATGAAGAGGCCGCCCGACCTCCATTAATTTTAACCATGTAAAAATAATAAATAATATTAATAAAATAATAATTATCATTTAAAAATTAAATATATCATTGTATTATAAAAGCACTTGAGTTACTATGTATATATATATATATTTTTGTCACATAAAATAAAGCAGGTTTGATAGTCATTAAATTTTTTAAGTTGTAAAGGGCTCATGAAATCAGACCACTATGGCCACTTTTGTCAATTTTTTTAAAATAAAAGTGTTAGGATGCTCAAGTTTTGATGGTAGGAGCTTTAGTAACCTCATCATTGACAAGGAATTCGATAATCAATATTGATGACAGTATAGGCAATTTTTTATCTTAAATTTTAAAAATGATTCAATCATTTGACATGAAAAATTAATTTTGACTAATGATTAAAGAACTGCAAGAATTACGGTGAAATTTCATAATTTTATCATAAATAATTTAGTTATAATGGTGCTTGAGTTATATATGTTAAATGGCACTGACACCGAAGAAAGAAGAAAGAGAAAAGAAACGACGGAGAAATACATAAGAAATAAGAAAAAGGAAGAGGGAATTGCTCAAGTAAAACAAGCAGAGAAGCACATGACAATGGAAGAAAGTGGAAACATACATGGGGTACTTGGGTAGAGGCCGACGAACGTGAACTAGTCGTGTAATATCATGGAATGTGACCATTGAAGTTGAAGGGGGAGAGAGAAAGAGGGAATCTCAAATCAAGTCGACACTTTTTTTTTAAAAAAATATAGCAGCAGCAAGTTTTAATCTTTTAAAATGTTGAGTTTGTCTGACTGAAAACGATGGTGTGTGGGGCATTGGGTCGTTGGAAATGATGAGGAGACGTTTCTGGGTTTGAGGCCCTTTGACACTTGACAGCATCGGTTGGAGAGGAAGGGCCCGCTTTTAATTTCATCCCTATTACTTTTTTTTTTTAAACTTAAATTTCAGCGTAACCAGATTTTACAGCCTTGCTTTCTTTATTAAAAAATAAGAATTAAATATTTAAAAATATGAAATATTTTTAACCTTTTAATATATAATTATTATTTTTTTAAATATTTTTATTAAATAAATTATTTTATATTTATTTTAAGAGGATTCTCAGTAAATTGTACTAGTATTAATGTTAATATTTGTTATTGTGATATGCATTTTGAGATGATTTAACGATAAATTTCTATAAAATATTTGTCTTGAGATATTATATTTAAATGTTTTCAAATTTTGATATTATAGTTTTGGTTTTAAAAAAATCATATCATAAATCAAATTTATCGACACGAAATAATTGAGTGTGGGTAAAAAGCTTAGTATGGTTGTATTTTGTAAGCATTCACGATCATAATAACAAGAGTGTTATTAGTGTCTGCCTACTGGGCCTGACCCAAAAAAAAAAAAAATCAACGAATTGAACCTCCAAGAAACAAGCATGCATCAGATGGAGTTGGATTTTTTTCTCTACAAAGGAGAGCAGAGAAAAGACTAGTACAGATTTAAACTATTAAATTAAATTTAAAAATTTAGATTTAATAATTTTAAAAAATATAAATTTAATTGAAATGGTTTAGATTTACAATAAATAGACAGCAAAAGAAAAAAAAAATAATGGAGAAAAACTCACCGCCCGTGAGATGCTGTGGTGAATAAAACGTTGGGATTGACCCAGGGGAGGAGTTTAATAGCAAATGTTAGCAGTTATTATCCGTGTTGTTGTCAGTGTTATTGATCATTAACAGTTGTATGATAATTACTATCCCATTGGCATATTTTAAAACTGTTTTACACATACCACTAAAACTTGTACAATTTTCAAAGGATTAAGTAGTAAAAATAGTTTAATTATTAAAAAATTATTTCTTTGATCCTTTGAAATTCATTTTCAAAGGATTAAGAGCTAATGATCAGGAAACCGGTTATACAAGGGGAACGTATTTTTTTAGAAGACTTGCGCGCGCGCGCGCACAGTTTCACATACATATTGAGAGGAAGGGGAGTAATAGAGTGCAAAACATATTTTTCTAATTAGCGGTGAGCTGAAAAAATCCAAGGAAACACGATCGGAGCTCACAGCCCAGCAGAACAAAGCTTGTTCTAATAATAGACCATGGAAAATGAGACTCCAACGAGGTAGTCTCAGTACCTTTTCTGATATTGGGAGATGAGTCTTTTTAATGACATGACTTATAGTACTCTTGCGAGAATCATAATTAGATTTGAAAAGAAATTGAAGTTTGAAATAGACTTGGCGATGACACCAAAGATTTAACTTTGCCATCCATACTGAAATTTGAATTGCCAGATAACATTAGAATCCGTTGGGGGATGTTTTGTCCCTCCTTCCTTTTTGCCGTTTGCAGTAGCGGGACGTGACTGGGGAGAAGCAAGCCCCCCAAGCACAGTCTTAGATGCCAAATAATTACATGAGAAAAATATTTTTTTAAAATAAGAGAAAAATTAAAAATAAATAATTATCTCATGCACTCGTGTTGATAGTATGAGTCTCCCTCTCATCCAACCTATTACTTTTAGTGGTACGCACCACCGCGGCACACAATAATCAAAATGAATAGAAAAAAAAAACAATGCGTGTATTTGATTTTAAAATGGCAAGAAATGCGAATATTAAAGAAAGAAAAAGGACGACGGACAAAGACGGGAATATGGGGGAAGAGAGAGCGGCGGGGAAATAGGAACCACGCGGTAAACCCGGGAGGCATTTTAGTTGAATATGGCGGCAGCTCACACACACACTCTCTCTCTACACTCTGCAGTCTGCCTTCGTACCCGCGATTCTCACAGTAACACCCCCCCCCCCCCAAAAAAAAACTCCTTTTCTTCACCAAAAACTCTCGCTGTAACCTGAGTCATCTCGTTTTCGTATTCCACGCCCTCAACTTCTCTGCTCTAGTTTAGGTGTATTTAGTTTTACCGCACTTCATTCCACGTACCTTCTTCAGACGCTTTCAGAGTCACTGACAACTACTCGCACATCATTATTTTCAAGGCCAACAACCCAGCACATACAATTTTTAGTTATAAGCTACCACTTTTCTTTAGTAACGTTAATAATTCATATCCCCATATCTTTGCAAACATGTTTGTACGGATGGGAGTGGTGCTTGTTGAAAAAGGGGGTGTCAACTGTCAAGGACCATGACCAAAGAGACCCAGCGTGGCCTTGCGTCACGCCATCATCTACTGCTCTTCTATTACAATCCCTACAATCTCCATTTCAGCATCTCAATGTCCATACATTCTATTTTTTCGTATTTAGACCGCTTGGTCATTAGCCTCCTGCACTAGAATCACGACACGCATACGGGACTATGTATGTTGGACCTATCTTAAGTAGTCATACACATGCACGTATACGGGCTTGCTTGTAATATTCCCCCCCCCCCCCAAATTTGGTACAATGTGCCGTGGGATACAATACCAAGGAGTGTCACATTTACAAGCAAGCCCGTATATTCATTAGCAATAAACGTAACTTGGTGAGGAGAAAAGATTCCTCAGCCCTCCTCATTCCGCGATGTCAAATAAATTCAAGTATGTATTTTGGCTCGTGTTCTTGTCGAACGGAACAACTGCACGAAGTCACAAAAAGAATGTGCATTATTTACTGTGAGTTAAAGTAGCAATGGATCAATAGAGAGAGAATCAAGGCACTGGGTAATTTATTCAATGTCTTCCGTATCAACCAATTCCCTCAGTAGTGCATTTGAAGGTGTCACATTCTCTGACTTTTTTTATATACGTAGACACACAAGTTACACGGAAAGTGGCCGTAAAGAAAAACGACGCAGAAATTCATAAACTATGCTAGCAACCGATGAACTAGATAATGAAAGGATACCTCCATAAATATCATAAGTGGGGATCACAGGTGAAAAGGCTTTTCCGTCATCTGTTCGATTCAGCAACCATCTGCAAAATATCCAAGCTGCAGCAACCACTGATGCAAGAGAAACACTGCCAGAATTCCAAAATTTGGAACATCATTTGCAATTATTGCAGCTCCCAGAATTGCACACTCCGCAAAACTAGCATCAGCAACCTCTGTTGCCCCAATGAGATTTGCGTCGGACGAGGGGTTCCCTGTTTGAAGAATCTGCATCTCCACACTTCATATGACACGTTTCCAAACTGTGATAATATCTGCATACACAATCACATATGCATAATGCATATACAAATCTTCAGCGGAAAACTCAATAATAACTAGTTTTATGAGCAGGATACTCCCCAAACCATCAAATTATGCAATTTGAGACCTTCCCAAGGTATTGCTTCCTTTCTTATAAAAGCTTCAGCCATTGTCACACATCCACTGAGGATAATTGTCGTTATAAAAGTTAATCAGATTTAGACAAATTCCATTCCACTTACATCATGCTAAGAAGTAAAGCTTGAAACACCAATCCAACTGCTCCAGCCTGCCAGAGAGAGATCACTATTGTCATGGACTGCGTATAAAATAAATTTTCATACTTGACTATTTAAAGATGGAAAACTGAAGAAGAAACCTTCCAAAAGACCAAATTGCTTGACCAGTGTTGAAGAAACAAATGTAGCTGCAACACCCATCAAAGCACAGTCCACTAAATCCTCCAATGACAGATGGGTGTAGGCCTGTTGATATGGCATAGACTTTATTAATTCTAAATAAAACAAAATGTTTAAATTGACTTGTCACTTACCTTTCTTTCCCCTCCATTTTCCTAAATAAAAAAATACCATTAGACTGTAACCTTTTGAGTATGGACACCTTTTTTTGGTGTGCAATAGTGAATTACAAGACTGAATAAAATAATTTTTTTATGAATTTGAATTAGATACCAAAGCCTACTCTAACGCAAATGGTTGGGAAAAAATTCACGCACCGTGTTGGGTTAAAAATGCTGTCATGAAATTTCCAGGAGTAAGCACGACATTGAAGTAAAGCAGCACACAGGCAAGACTTGCTGGAAGAACTGGCCGTTCCAGATACTCCTTCGAACCTAGCTTGATTGCTTGTACCCCTTTGATTCCCCAGCAGAAAGTAATATAAATAAGTATATTTGATATAACCACGTGATCAGATAATTCTCAATGCAGCTATAAATTCAAAAGGACCTATGTTGTCATGACGTGGCTCAGGTTCTTCAGTGGATGTTTTGAATAGGTTTGTGAAGATTTAGGCCGGTCAAGAACACCTGTTGAAAGCATGTTGGCCAATCGTGCGAGAGCAATCTATTATATGGTAATGGAGGGTGCAAATGTGAAAAATAAATTCATCTGTCAACAAATGGAATTAATAAGAAAAGAAAAGCAAGGGAATTACCGTAACAGGCAACAGTCCTGTAATTAAGCCAGCAGCAATTTTCAAACAGGTCACTGGATGGAATATAGAAAGAAGGACTCCGGATATTGATGTGACAACTATCTGCAAATCAACGTCTTATAAGTCCGCAAGTTAATATTTCAAAATTAATAAAATAAATTTGCCAATATCATTCCACGGGAAAACGGATATTGAATTGAGAATATGCAAATGTATAAGCTGGCTAATCCATTCATTGCATTAAAAAAAAAAAAAAAAGCAAGGACCTCACACAAGAGATCAATTTGATTCAGAATAGCATTCCCCTGCACAAGTGCGATTGGCCTATTCACTCCTGCTCACTGTTGAAAGAAAACGTCAAAAGGGATTAGAGAAACATGTAATTTAACATAATTTTATTCTGAAAACTAAGATGCCAAGGAAACAAGGGAAGCTGGCTATGAATGACATTACCAGCATCACCCAGTCTCGCTCATTTGCAACCCCTAAAGCTACACCACATAGTCTCTCAATAGCCCCTGCTGACATTAGTGTGACAAACCATGGATTTAAAAGCAGAGAAGACACTAAAGTAGGATGGGCAAAATGGGCATGGATGATCATCATTGCAGATAATAAGTGGGCAGAGGCCTGACAATTTATTAAATGCTAGAAATTAAATCCTTTTTAAGAAAGAACCATATCTCTGATGGTAATTTTCTTATCAAACAACTTGCATGGGCAATATTCAAGAAATTATTTGCTTGTACTCTGGGCACATGATCCATAGCTTTGCCAACCATTGGACCTCCAACAATTGTAGCAAATTTGGTGAAGAAACCTGTGACCACGACAGGTAAAAGGCTTAGATGGATCAAAGCAATGGTTGAAAGCCAAGCAAAATTCCATAGTTGTTCCACTAAATTTCTAGCTATGCAGCTAGAATAGAAAGCTGAAAACGCAAGCTTAAGACAGAGCCTCTTAGATGAATTCAAATTCAGAGCCATCAATTAATCCCCAAGACAAATGACATATAGTAAGACCATAAGCATAAATTCAGCTGCCAAATAATCTCTGAAGCAGATGGCACACAATAAGATCTCGAAGAGTGATTGAACTTGATTAACAGAACATAAAGATTCACTGTTGTTAGGAGGTTACGATGTCATTGTCAGGTCAAATTGAACTCTGATATGCCACCAACGCATGCTTATTTTTTAAGAAGGGCAGGTGTGCAGCCCCTTAATGTTTTATTCTAAAATAAGTCCACATAGGTGGCATATCAAACTCTCAAGTTCACAACGAGTGATTCAGCAAGCAACCTAATAAGATGAGAACTCTCATGCCCAATAGATAGGAATTCAATCAGACCAACATAAAAGGCAGAAGGCATACGTAATTCAAGAAGGAAAAAAATGAAAATTAAAATATGATGAAATTATTAGTAATATATGTCTATAAAAAATTGAGAGAATATAATTATTACAACACTCAAGGACCAGTTGAGGCAAGACAACGCAGAGGATCCTTTTAACTCTGAGAAAGAACAATGCCTGCTCAAAATAGTTTTGCTTGACAAATTTTATTGATTCCTCTTTACTGCGTCTAGAAATATAAATTTGAAATTTTTGGTTCAACTTGGTACTTCAGTTGATTGACCTTAGTACAAGAAGTGATTGATTTATCACAGCAGTATGAAAAATAGCTATGCTTTAGTCAGAGTTTATAAGGTGGGAAGTATCTCACCATATAATCCAGATGGGTGGGCTGGAGTCGCTGAAAGGGCTTGTTGTTCCTCTTCTGATAAAACCTAAAGAGTAGACCATAGAAAGATGAGAAATGTTAAGACAAGGCTCAAAGAACATGATAAAGTGAAGCAAATAACCTACAGGTAATGCTGTCAAAAGACTATCTGCATATGTGCCCTCAGTCAATAAGCTCAGAGATTCAGTGGGGAGAATATCTGATTTGAGCTGAATGATTGGCACCAGATGATCAGTTTCGACAGTTGAGCATTCTCCCTGAAACATCAGTTGAGACAGAGTCTAAGCATATATTAGTATCCATTATTGAACATATGGAACTAAAATTCTCGAACCTGTAAATACAAGCAGATCCAAATTTGAAATCCAGAAGACAACTTTTGAAAGCTGGGCTCTGCCCAACTAATCATATTAATATATTGTTCCTTGAAGCATAAATTATCATCAACTTAGACGTCCTTTCCCTAACTCTTTGTAATAGTCCTACTGAGTTACCAAAATAGAGAAAACATGCCCACTCCAAAAAAGGTCAGGTTAAATTAAGAATAAACCAAACAAAGGGATTAAATTACTTTTCTTTCCGGTCTTAAAAGAAATTTGGAGAAGTGAGCAATAGCATATGAAGTACTGAACAGACTTCAGCGGCATTCCAACAGACAACATAAGAACCAAAGATCTGCTAACTCTAGGAGGAGGGACTTGACCTTATTCTATGAGGCCACATGGCAGTACTTCCCTATCAATTTAAACATTGTGGAGTACCATGAGGTCGGAAACATGCCAATCTCTATAAATGTCGAGTCTAGATAATACTAACTAAACCGAAAAAATGATAATCAAATCTAACTATATTAATCTCCTCTCCACTAGCCTCTGAGAAATTTGATTAAAAAAGGATAACCAAATAACATATAAGCTACTAGAAACACTTCACAACTGCATTCCAATTCCAAGGGACAACAAAAGAACAAAATATATGCTAATTATGTCCATTCAAGGCCCCTTATCCCATGAAGCAGAAACTGACTTTGTCCTTAAAGTAGATGAAAGAACATCGGTAAAATTTTCTTCGACCATGGCAAAACACATTCTAACCAACGACTGACTCAGCTCAAGAAGAATAAAAGATTACAAAAAGCCAATACAGAATCCGAAGAGCATTTCTCCTTTCTTTCGTCAGTTTACTCGCTACAGACAATAGCATGCAGACCTGACATGTAACACAAGTGCTTGCGCGAGACATGATGGCGATTGAGATTCAACGATCGGACGGAAGGGCAGCGGTAGCGAATTTGAGAGGCTGGCGGAGACGATAAAATGGAAAATTTGAAAGAACTAATAGAAAGGGCATCAGAGGCAATGACAATGGGTTCTGCTGCTTGTAACAATCATGCAGTCCCAGAAGCAAAGGAATCTTTTTGCTCTCTCCTCTGTGTTACTCCTTGTGTCAATGTTCGTCAGAATGGCTGCCCTTCATTAAACTAGCAACCTATACCATGGCCAACGATGTTGTGGGATTGAAATTTTGGATAGCGCGAAAATGAGTTCGGCCTTTGCAAACCTTATCTTAGTAGAGGTATTTTTTTTCTTTTCTTTCACACCCAGCGTTTGGGTTCGTTAAGTTTATTCCCGCTTAATTCACTCTAAACTAATCTGAATCTCCGCTTAAATGGGGCTCTCTTTAAAGAGGTTTTGCAAGTATTGCTGACGAGACATACTTTACATACTCAATTACGCTGCTGTTTACACACGAAATCTTAAGTTAAACTGTTTAGCCCCTAACCACTAAAACAGGTATCTAGTTGGTTGGAGGTAGTCTTGTTCTGAACCTGGAGGGAATTTTGATTCCGAAATATTGCCCTTTGCTAGTATGCTTGAGCATTTTTAGTGCAACCATGCGAAAGAAACGTTTGATCAATTTTCACAGTTTGCTTTTCCTTCTTTCTTTCTTTCTTGTTAAGCGAAAGAGGCCCATGGAAACCCGTTGTGCCAAGTAGAGCTCGGGGATTCCACAAAAATGAATAAATCCGCTGGTTCATGTTGGGCCCTCCTCAGTTTTGATTGATTAAGAACGCCGTTGCACTGTTACAGTTGCCATTATCCAGCTAGACAAAAATATCAAATGAATTGCAGAGTCTATAAAAAGATTGTGAAATAAAATTTGTAAGATCCAGATGATGCCAGGAAAATTATAAAATGAAAAGATTGAATTATTATCAGGGACAGAGCCAAAAAATTTAATAAGGGAGGCGAAATCTGAAGAAGAGTGTACTTTTTAAGGGAGCAAGTGAAATTTTTAGTGCTGAGTGTACTTTTTAGGGTATTAAAATGTCATTTTCCACGAAACATTGAAATATGCTTCGTCTTATGGGTTTGTTCTTGCGTAAATTTTGCAATTTTTAGGGGAGTTAAGTGTAAGTGCTAATCATTTTGCTCGCCCCATTTTCTCGAGCAGCATGGCTGTCCCCGGTTATTTAATAAAAAAAAATTAAATTCAAGTCTCATATAAAAAATTTATTACCAAAAAATTCTATAAAATTTATAAAATGTTCATAAGTCTTAAATCCTATACATTTACATAAAGTTATAAATGGCCACTATTCAATTATCAATGCTCTTCTTCAAATTATTAATGCATAAAATTTAAGATTTTAAAATATTTTGTAAATTTTATTGGACTTCTTGATAATAAATTTTATTATGTAGAACTTGGAGGTAATTGTCCTTGTTTAATAGCTTCCTTTTGTGAAACATGTGCTTTAAGCAATTTAACAATTAAAAAAATACTTATATTTATAATTATAAATATGATGTAAATTGTATTTCTTTACATGTGAAGGATGATTTCTAGTCGTGGATAAAAGATATGAAAAAATAGAGGGTTGAATCCAGGACCGATATTGGGAGAGGACCAAAATCATCCCTTTGGTTTAAGAAATTAAGCCTACCTTGGGACCTACTTATATGAGATTCCTTGAACCCACCGCTTTGATATTAGGAAACTAGTCTTGGGTTTGAAAATTTTGGGAACATAATTAACCTTATTTATAATAATTTTCTAACAAAAGTGCCTTGTGAATTTTGCCCTAAATATGCCTAACATAACTATCGTTGCCATTGCCACCGCAAAGTGCTCTTCTCCATTTCCTCCGTTAGTCTAATCACAAGCACTCATCTCCACCTGTCAATCTCCCATTAGTCACATGGCGTCACAAACCTTTATTTGCGGAGCAAAGAGTGATCGTAACAAATGGGTTGAGATTGAGAGTAGGCGAAGAAGCATACCCCATGAGCAAACTTGAAGCCAGCTTTCTCAAACAGGATTGATACCAGTGACTCTAAGCTAGCGAGGAAGCAACTATTCACGACAATGGAGAAATAGGGTCACGTGAGGGGGAGGAAAGTTGGGTTTGGATGCGTCAAAGAAGATGGGTTTATGGTTACACATTTTTTTATTAATCATTTAGGGTATTATAGCCTTTTCATAGTTTATGTTTAATTGTATAATAAAATAAAGGGAAGTATTCTTTACAATTGTTATTCCACGCCAAACATAAATTTAAAATGTCATTCATGTTCCCAATGTCAATTTTAATCCTAATTTCAATCCCTTCAAATTTAAGCATGCATATCAAACAAGGCCAAAATGTTGTATGCACAATTAAAGTTTCATCGATTGATTTTGCATTGTCACACTTTCAGTTGTTAATACTTTTATCACTTTTTTTTCCTCTTCTAAAAGTCCTCACTGCCTTTCTCCCAAATAATTTTGTGTATTTTAAGGGAGGTTTTAATTTAAATTAATTTGATAAAGAGGCTTTTCTTTTCCATGAAAGGAGTGGATTTGAACCCTTGTTAATGAGGTGGGTTGACTTTTTTTCATTGTCAATTTTTAAGTTGTCCACTTTAATTTGTTTTTCAAGTGGCCAATATATTCATATGACTACAGCCTTGTTTGATGCATTCCTTATAATATATTCTTTTTAAATCATAACATAGAATATTTTTTAAAAATCTTACTTGATATAAAGTATAGGGCATAATGCAAGCTTTTATATTTATTTGTTTAACCATGCCTTTACTTTTTTCAAAAAAATCATATATTAAAATTTTAATTATTATTATTAAGACTTTTATATAAAATATTTAATGAGAGTGTAAATGAAAATATATAAATATTTTTAATAATTTAATATTTTAATTAATATTGTTCGTAGAACATAAATTAGTTACTTATGACTTATGTTATAGTTTAGAATTTTTGACATGAGAGGTAAAATCTCCTAAAATACTAATAATGCTACATAGCAGTTGGGATGACATTGCGTCCGATATTATACAATTATTTCATTTAAAATAATACTATCACATGTTTAGTGATACACAATGTAACATTGAGTAGGATAATGATTATTTTCCTCTCAAAAATATTATTTACTTAAAATACAATATATTCATACTTAGATGTCCTCATGTCAATGTAGAATTCTAAAAGAAGTGATTTTTCAACTATAAATACGAAATAGAAATTTTCTTTTTTTATAAGGAGATTAAATACATTAAAAAAAATTTAAAAATAACCTATAATAGTACAAATCTCAGAACTAAGCCTAGATAAGAGAACCTAAATATATCAATAACAAATGAAATAGAAGCAAAACAAAAAAATTAAGGAATCTGTATCATAGGTTAGGACACATGAGGTCAAAGATCTTTGCTAAATAGCCTGTAGAAGTATTATAATTATTGTGTGATTGTGCTAAAAGGAGGTGTCTCATATTACTCACATGAGAAGAACTCCTATTGTATATATGTTAATGAATGAAAATGGGCTAATAAATAAACTTGGAATTAAAGAAATATTGAGGTCCTGTTTAGTTACTAAAAAAGAATATAATGGAATGAATTAAAAAAATTAATATAAAAATAAACTAAATCATCCTTCATCCTCATAGTAAGCATGATAAAATCATTAATATATACTACAAATGTAGGAATTATTACACCTTTCAAAAGTTTTATGAATCACAATTGTCAACCCCGTGAATTAAACTACTCCTTTCCTTTATGAATTTAGTTTACTATTCCTTTTTATCATCTCATTTTTATTTTTTTTTTCAATACATTTCTTTCTAATAACCGAACGTGACTTGAGTTCATTTTATCATATTTATTTTAAAAAATTGTTAAAAATTCCTTCCCATAAGTCCTACAATTTGAATATTTAATTTTAAATTCCCCATCCCCACATTTATTTAATGTGAATTAACCACACATTATTTTTATTAAAACCAATAACTGAATTAACCACACATATATTTTAAAGTTTAAATTTAATTTAAAAGTTAAAATTCTTTTATTTTTTATGGTAAAACAAAAATGAGCTTAAACAGGATGATTGAGTCCTTTTTTTATAATCTATCAAATTGGGTTTCAAAGTTTGATTTTCTTTGAAAAAATGTCATTTTTTCAAACTTAAACTGTTATAAAAAAAAAATTTAAATGGTTAGCCCGTTAGTTCCAATCCTCATTCTCAACTCTAAACATAATGGGGAGCCACACATGGAGTAACTATAAAAACATGATAGTATAAATCAACTATATTTTTTGATATTTTTATGTTTTGATTATATTAAATTCTACTTCTAAATAATAAATATAGATTAAAATGTGAAACGGGGATTTTATGCAAATTAGACAAACAGAGCATAGGAGAAGCTAATGTCTTGATTAATGGAGCACAAAGGGCTATCACAAAAGAGCATAAATTACAATGCTAAAGAAATAAAAAAAAAAAAAAAGTAGCTGGGCTGGCGAGCATGCAAATAAATTTGCAAGTCACTGATCCTGATTTACAAAGGATGATAATGAAAACTACTTTAGCTGTGAAGTAGAGAGTTTCATTTTCAATTACATGTGGTCATTCCAACTCGCCCTTGACCCTGTACGACCAACTTTGATGCACATCAAATTTGCCTTGCATTGTTTTATTCTCAAGCTAATTAACACTTCAAAAGATATTTTGTGGAAAAAAAGTTAATATATTATTAAAATGTGCAGAAGTAGTTATTTGAATGGACTCATGTCCTGTGTAACTCCAAGCATCCCATCCTTGAAGAGCAACGAGCAACCATTGAATCCAAATATGTTTTGTCAAATATGACTCTGGAGCGTGGACCACGAGCTCTTCCTAACATAAGTGGACTACTTCTAACAACCCTGTCTCCTATGAATACAAATCCACTCGCTTCCCCCTTTGATTTTTGCCCTTGTGTTGTTATAGTACCCAGAGCTGCTTGAGTATTTGACGCGCTTAACGAACACATATATTCACATAACAATTCTACATCAAATATGAAGGCTATCGTTAGCTAATTAAAGTGGAACATACATGGGCACAAAAAAGGAATTTGTTGAGCAGCTATCCTATTAACCCTCCCTCGAGGTAATAGGTTTAGTCGTTGTCGGGAATGAAGTTCGCTACACCCTTGATGTAACAATTCTCAAAGCAATGATCACCTTGTGCATCTCAAAGCATATCTTGAAAACTCAAGAAGCCATAATCAATAAAAAGAAAGATTCATCTTCACATATTCTCGCTACTAATGCGGGTTGTATCACCGGTCTCCCTCCCGTGG